CTCACAGGCCCTGCTTCTACCTTCCAAGACTTGGGTGGTGTGGTCAGAGCCTTTGCCAGTGAAGACTGAGGCAATGAAGTCATTCAGAACCTCAACCTTCTCCAAATCCTGTGTAGCCAGTTCTGATAGATTCTGGAGGGGGCCTACGTTGTCCCTAATCTGTTTTTCATTTGCTACGTACCTATAGAATCCCTTCCTGTTATCCTTAACATCCCTAGCCAGGTTTAATTCTAAAATTAATTCTAGATGGACAAGTAATCAGTGCCTCTGAAACAAGCAGATGGATGTACACTTTTAACTTGGCAGAAGCGGGGCTTGGGAGGAGGAGGAGAAGATGGAGTTAGAAGACCGGTGTTGAAACTTCGGGAGTACCCCAGTGCAGTGCAAAGCTGGAGGTTGGCTTCTCTGCTTCTGGGCAGTTTTTGCATCTAAGGTATCTCCCTTATCTCATACTTAACTCCCCCACCAACCTTTTGTCAACAAAGAACATCTAAAGTTTCTGTTATTTCTGCACGTAAGAACGAAGCCTTCTAACAGAAGGCCCTTTGATGCCTCCTGTAACTAATGGCTTATTGCGAAAGTGAACTGGCATAAACTGTTAAGGGGCACGTATTACAAAGCTTTAAAGCTTTTACAGTATGCAGGCTCATCGGTTTTAATCCTGTAACACCTAGATTATTCTTAAAATACAGTGTTTTGTTCTGGACCCTGTTTACTGCTTTAAATCTTTCAATAAGAGCCTGTGTTACCTAAACCCTTTTGTACGCCCTTAGTTTCCACTGTACAAGGCAGAATGCTTAGAAAAGGAACATTGGCTTCAGCTGGATTTACTCAAAAAAACTGGAAATACTAGTTTGGCACCAATATCACTATTTTGGTTAAAGGCATGATTTTTTACTGTATTACAATAACCTCTGTGTGTGCTAAAGCAGATTTTTATTATACAATTAACTATCTGAAGTTACGTTTTAACTATCCTAGTGTAAAACATATAAAGAAGTGAAAAAATATACAGTCTGTAAATAAGTCCCAATATTCCTGTTCTTTGGGCTCTACGCTTTAACAGATTCCGATGATAAATTGGAGGTAGAGCAACAGTAGGAGGCAGTAGCACAGTTAGTTGGTTAGAGGCAGTTGGTTAGTTGGAGGCAGTAGCAGTTAGTGCAGCAGTGCGAAGGGAAAGTCAGAAATTCAAAAATCAGGAAAAAAGACCAATAAAAAGGATAGGACTTGTTTCTGATAAGAAAGGAGAGGTTTAGTCACTGTTATTTATGACAGCCCATGAATGCCTATCAAGTAGGTTGTTCTTTTATCAAAACCACCAGGGCATGTGGTACAATTTGTGGAATTTTAAAAGTACTTTAAAGTAATCTATTTTTCATTTGAAAAACACAAATCAATCCAAGTTACAATCCAAAACAAAGAAAACGTATATTTGCTGTGGAAAAATGTACACCAATAGTTTTCCTTATTATTTTATTTGCTAACAAGATCATTTCAGGTGCTGCACACAAGTGCGCTAATGTGTGCTGAGGAAGAGTCATCCCCAGTTGAACCTTATCATGTGAAGGTGTACACAGTTACAAGCCACATTTGCACTCCAAGATTAATTACTAATAATACAGCAGCCTGCAATATCACCTAGGATATATTGCAGCATGCCTGCAATATATCCTAGGTGATGTGTTTGGTATCATTCTTCTCTCTCAAATTACAAAACACATCAGTCAAGAGCCAACAGGAGCTGGGACATATGGCATCTCAGAGTGGCACAAGCTGCCCAGCTCCACCTGTGCCTGGCCCACCTCAGTGCCAGGAGGGGCCAATGAGTCCTGCCAGCTTCAGAGCGTGGGAGCTGTGGATTCAAGCACACTTTTTGGGATGCTGTAGCTCCTGCTCCTACTACATACCACTTATAAGTAGTACATGCTGTGGTTTTGGCACCTATGAGGAGTGTAGATAACTGTTGCCTTCCATATGATTCAGTTCTGCTTGTGTGCATGGCCTGTAAGTGCTACTGATATCTTATGCAGAGTTGCTGGTTTGTATCTGCCTTTGAACTGGTTTAATATTTAATGTTTTACTCTAATCAGTATATTGTTGCAATGCTGCATGTTTTTATGTTTATTTAAAATCTCTCCCTATATGTATTTTAGTTATACCTGAATAATTCTACGAATCACTACTAGAGCTTATGTTATAAAATGATAATTTTAGACGGCCAACTCTGCGACAACTGATTTTTTTTATCTCATGAGGCCCAAGCTTCATGAAAGTTTGCACATCCATCCTATATTAAGCTTGATACTGCCTGTTAAGCCCATCTAGCTGCAGCTCTTTGTATTTTCTGTCTGCAGTTCTTTGTATTTTTTGATCCCACATATCACGCAAGACTAAAAGTGGCATGATTTCTTTGTTACTGTAACCAAATGAGGCGATCATCCCCCCTGAATGGGTCAGACAGTCCTGCCCTTCCACTGGACCTTCCTGTGTCCTGGGATATCACACGACCGAGCAGTAAAGCAGGGTTAAAATTCTCTGATTTTCCTGTCACTGGTCTAGTTGTAACACAATCCAGTTTGCCATGCAGCCACAGAAATGCTTTTGCAGGCACAAAGAAGGACAGGGCACAGGTGTGAAAATGCGCAGTTTATGGCAGAAGCAGAACCATCATTCTCAGCCCCACAACTGTCTTATTATGATCTAATCATGAAACTATGATACTCCTCTACTTGAAATTCCACTTAAAAATTAGCATACTGGCAAGCATGGCTGGGTAACATAATCAGGCTTTTAACCGCTCACAAACTGTACAAAGAGGATCAGAAACATTTAAAATGCACAAGTGATCTTTCCATTGCAGCAAATCACAGCAGCCAGACCCAGACTGACATGTTTTATGCTTGCAGTAAGGTCAAATATGTCTGAAGAAATGAAAGGGACCTCTAAAGACATAGCCTCAGAGTCTAGAAATTGCTATTCAGAATCCAGATTTCCACTAAAGAATTCCTGGAACTCACCCTTGTCCCACTTTTCCCAGCTTGTGCTTCCTATGTTTTTCTTTAAGGCCCACTATCATTGTTACTGATTTGTTGTTGGGTTTGGGTTTCTTTTTTTGTTTTCTTTTTGTTTGGGGTTTTTTAACATTATTATATTTTTTAAAGTGTGAAATCACAAGAAACACAAAGTGAGTTAAACTTCTGATGCCTAAGACTGCACAGCAGCAGAGCGTGGAATTAAACCCAGGCGCTCCACATGGTCTTCAATCAAACAAATCGGGATTCGGTATTTTTCCCACCCCTTACACAATTCCCTTCTCTAATGCCTGAAACGTGACTTTTAGGGAACTGCTGTCAGTGACTTTATGCTGAGTTTAGCTTCAGTTACTGTATCCTTCCTTCAGCTGCAACGGTGGGTGCGTGAAGCGGGACCTACCCTTGTTCTCTAATACCAGGTTATGCAATCAGATTAAGGAGCCATCTGCAGCACAAACCAAAACTGCGCTATAATCGCGTTCCCGGCTCACGCAGAACTTTGGCTTACGCAGGATCTGTGTCTCCTCGAATCACTCACCGCCCTCCCCACTACCTCTCTCCTCCTCCTGCAAGCTGGAAACGCAGGCCAAGCGATATGGTCAAATATTTCGGTGATTAAATCATTACGCTTCGAGTACGGTCAGATCGGATGCCGCTTCTGAGATTTAAGAGAGTATTTGCGGCCGTTCAAAAGGAAAGCAAAACCTCACCCTTTACTGCGTCTGCTTTGAAGGCGCTGGAAGAAAGAGAGAAGGTCGGCTTGCTGCTTCTGCCGCTCTGCTGTCGACAGCTGAATCGTTACATGGCTTAATGCCAATGAATCTCGCTCGTAGTTTTTGTACTCTCCAAACGGAAAATAGTTGCTTTTATCAAGTGTTTTCACACTATCTATTTTAGCTAGCCGTGTGCACAGCAAGGTCTTGGTTCACTAGTAGTGAAAACGTTTCTGTATTCTGTCTCTTTTGTTGTTAAAAGTCACCTTTATTAACAAAAAGCTCTTTTAAATGACAGAAGTGGAAACTCGCAAGTCCTCTTTGTTTTCAGAGATATCTACCAAAGGAACGCCAGGCGCACCCCTCGTTGCGTGTGGTTTAAAAACAGATTTAACAAAGGCCGGAGCTCGGGCTGTTCTCGACTCAGAGCGGCAATCGGGGGCTGGACCCGGCTCGCAGGGAGCTGCCCGAGACAGCGGGATCGGCGCGGCGGCACCCGCGTTCCGGCAACGGTTGACAGAAAGAGTGTAAAAGGAGGCGGCGAAGCAAGAAGGAACGACAAGAAATTAACCCCCAACTCGTAGAAAATCCTACACAAGGGGTCCGGGTGGCGGAAACACCGGAGCTGGAGTTAGTGCCGAGGGAGGCAGCGAGGAGCACCGCCAGAGTCCGGGCAAGGGGAAGCGCGGCCGCCCCATGTGCCCTTGGCGGAGGCACGTTTACACGCTTGGCGGTGCGGGAGGCAGCGCCGGTTCCTGCCCGGCCTCTGCCTTCCGCCCGGCGCCTTTCTCGCCTTCCCGCCTCCGGCCGGGCTGGGCTCTCCGCATGGCTGCCTTTCAAATCTCAACGGCCGCGCCGCTAGGGAGGAGCGACAAGGGGGGAATAAGGGGAAGAGAATGAACGGGGCCTTTTAAAAAGTGGGCTGAGCAGCTGCCACCCCTCCGCACGGCGGGGCACAGGGTGCGCAGCGCGGGGCAGGCCGGAGAAGGGCAAGAAGCTGCCACTGGGGCGGGACGGCCCCGCCGGCCTGAGCACCGCAAAGCGGCACAGCGAAACCCCGGCACTGCGCGGCGCGCCCCCTGCACTCCCGCCCGCCCGCGCTCCCGCCGGCGTCGCGCAGCAGCTCGGGAGCGGTAGTTCACCCGCCGCGGCGGACGCAGAGGGGTCGGTGGGGCAGGACTGCATTTCCCGTGGCGCCCCGCGGTGGGGAGCCGGCATGCGCGGCGGGCGGGGCGGGGCGGAGCGGCGGGCAGGTTGCTGTTGTTACATAGGAAACAGCTGAAGAGTCTCCACATGACAGAGGGGGAAGGAGGAAGTGGGGCGACCCGTGGGGCGCCGCTGCCGCTCCGGTAGCTGCGGGGCTCGGGCAACGCAGCCGACGGGGAGAGCCCTTCCCGCGACGTGCGGGCTGGCCGCCCTCGGGCGAGGGTTTGCAACCCGGTGCCGCCGCTGAGAGGAGGCGGGCGAGCGGGTAGAGAGCGGGAGAGCTCTTCCCCGGGCCGCGGCATCTCGCCGGGGAAGTTCGGTGCTGGGCGGCATCCTGCCTCTTTCCCTTGGGCTTCCCGCCGGCTGCGGCGGTGGCGCCGGGCATGAACGGCTTCGCCCCCGAGGAGGTGACCCAGCGCGGGGCGGACCCTGCCGCAGCCGCCGCCGCGGTGGTGGGCAATGCGGGTTCCGCAGTTGAGGTGCCACCGCCGCCAGCGCCGCCGGGGCTGGGTCCGGCTGTAGCCGCCGCCGCGGGCTTGGGCGCAGGGGGTGCGGGCGGCCCCGGGGCAGGGCAGCTGTGCTGCCTGCGGGAGGAGGGGGAGCGGTGCGGCCGCGCCGCCGGCAACGCCAGCTTCAGCAAGCGGATCCAGAAGAGCATCTCGCAGAAGAAGGTGAAGATTGAGCTGGACAAGAGCGTAAGTCCGGGCAGGGGAGGATGCCACGCACAGGGGCCGGGGTTGCGGCGGGGCAGGCGGACAAAAGTGGCCGGTGGGTCCCGGCGGTGTGTGCTTGGGCAGCGGCGGCGGGTCCAACCCCAGTCCCCGCTCCCTCCGGCTGGGTACTCTCACGCCTTAGTTGGTTTGGGGGCTTTTAATAAAGTTTAGGTTTGGTTTTGGTTTGTTTTTTGGCAGCGGGGAAGTGTTGTTTCCCCTTTCGCCCCCTTTTCCGTAGCACGGTGGAGTTTGGCTAGCGCTGCAGGAGCGCGGCCTGAAAGTGCTCTTCCTCGGCAGGAGGAGCAGGGGGGGAGCGCTGGCCCCTCCTGCCTGCTCCTGGGGTCTACTTCCAGCTCCCAGGAACGGGGGGCACGGGCTGCGCTTTACCCCGCGCAGCTGGAGCGGGAAGCAGCGTGGCTGGGCAGCGCCCCGCCTCCCCGGAGCGGAGCCCGCATGGCTCCCGCCGCGCTAGTTTGTGTCTGTTCCTGGCGAGCGCAGCGCTCGGCTGCTCCGCCTCGTGTTGCAATGTTGCACGTCTCCCCTTGCCACTGTATCTTCCGCTCGGCAGCCATCAGGCGCGGCACGGCCGGGCACGGGAGCGGGGAACACGCCGTTTCGGAGGTGTGCTTCTCTGGCCCCGTACCACAGGTTTTTCCGGCGGGGGGTTGGGGGGCAAGGTTGCTTAAAATGCGCGGAAGCGGACGTGAGTACTCCGCGCCTCCGCCCGAGGGACCCCCCGCAACTGCCCCACCCCGGGCCGGGAGTTCCTCGCTCCGTAGGCGCGATCCCTAAGCGGGGTCCGTGCTTTCTTTGCCGTGAAATTCGGTGTTGGTACGTGTTGAAGAGCTTTCCAGAGTGTGCAGACCTACACAAAGGGAAACTGATAACGAAAAGGGAAAAATACCCCAAAAAGTGTGTTGCTTGACCTGGCCTAGGTAGTGGAAATGAAACAAGAGGTGGGAGGCTATAGATAGGAAATGGGAGCCGGCATTTTGCCCTCCAAAGAACACCTGAAAGCTTGTTTTGTGTTTGCTTCCCGATCTCCGAGTTGCGGTGCATGGCTGGAGGGAGGGTTGTACGCGTATGTGTCTGCAGCCTGTTACTGCTGAACCAGTAGATTGCAGCACTTCGGCTTCCCCGGCCAAGCCGGTGGCAGCGAGCTGCAGCACAGCCTCAACGCAGTTAATGTGACTGCGGTTGCTGAAGGGTTGTCTCTGTATGTGCGTTTATATTGTCAGTGGGAGATTCTGACGTGAGTTTGACTGAAAGACGCCGAATTACTCTTCTAGGCAAGACATCTGTATATTTGTGACTTCCACAAAAACTTAATTCAGAGTGTGAGAAATAGAAGAAAGAGGAAAGGCAGCGATGATGACGGTGACTCACCCGTGCAAGACATCGACACTCCAGAGGTAGCTAAGTAGTTGTTTTGGTTTGGTGTTTTATTTTTTCCTAACTGTCCTGTTAAGCTTGTTGTTAACGACTACCAAGTCCACACAGACACCACTTTCTTACAGCTCTCTTTATTTTGGAGCATGTGGGAAAGACTCTTGATTCACTCTTGATAGAACAAAATCTCACAGAATCTTACAGTATATTTTCTGTATTAATTGTGCATAGTAGAATGAACAAGAGTCTGTGATTTTTTTAAGTGTCTGCTGGCTCTGTCACAAAACAGCTGTTTCTACCTTTCTTCTTGGTGCTCTTCAGAGTGGTGCTTTGCCACATAACAGCAAGCTGTCTTCGCAGGAGTTGACAATTTGAAGGGAATTGCACATGGGGCTTGGGATATTGTCTGTGCCCCATCCCTCTGGTCCTTTACTCTGTGCTCAGGGTGTTGGAGATGGCTCTTGCAGTTACTCTGTTGCCTTAGTCACCTTAAATGCACAGTTTAACAGTGGTAGTCTGTGTTTTTACCCTGTTGCTGGGGGAAGAGACATTCAGGGAGCTGTGCTAGACAAGAAAGTGGTGTTTTTCCCATCTGTGTTCTCCGCTGCAGACCAGTGAAACTTCACCCGTTAAAAAAAAATGAACTACAGTTTTAAACCTTTTTCAGAGCACAGTAGGAGAGACTGCACCAAAGGCTCCTTCTTTCCCAACCCCCCTCCATGTGCTCTGGATTATTTCTGCTACAGCCTGGTTTAGCAGGTGCTCTTCAGTGTGGTAATTCTGAGCACAGGCTGTCATGCCTACCTGGTCCTTTCTGAGAGGGATTTTTAAAGCATTCAAACATTGCTCTGTAAGTGTTAATTTAATGGCATCCTTATGGTCAGTGTCCGTAGATAGCAGCATCATAAGTGGTGAAACTTTGAATAGGAATCTGTGTCTAAAGGCACGTGGCTCCAGTCCAAAGGCTCTAGCTAAGAGGATTTTAGGGGGTTGGGAGTAGTTTGATGTTGGGCTGTCTCTTAAAATCTGGGACTGCATCTTTGAGAGATCTGTGTGAAGCTAATGCTGTGTGTGACTTCAGGTAGCTCTCTGGCACAGTGGTAATCACAGCTCTCTTGCAAGCCTGTTTTGTTTTCTCATGAAAGAATTATTAAACATGTCACAACTGATAGATATCTCTAGGACAAGAAAGCAAGCTTTTTCTATTAATGGCACTACTGAGGGGAATAAAACTGCCTGGGAAGTATTTTTGAGGAGTTTCAGCTGGCCATTTGGATAAGGGCAGTATGTGCATTCCACATGATTACTGCATACATTAGGTGCCCATTGGCCCTTTATCTTCTTTATTTTCAATTGCTATCCAGTCTACTAAGGAAAAAGGAAAAATATCATTCTTCTGAAGACTTGTAAAGCCTTCCTGTTTCCATCTCGATCATGACTATCATTACCTGTTAGAAGTGGCTCCTACAGGAGGGGAAGAAGCTTCTGCAGTACTGGTACCTTCTGTGACTTGATAGAAAGCTGCCAGTACTCCTCTGTGTGATGCTCTGGGGTGTGGATTCCCCATTGTGACTTGGGAAGTGGAATTTGTGCCATGAAAGCTTTAGAACACCAAAAGTTACCTACCCATCCTCTGTCATGGAAGGCTGCATCACATAAAGTCTGGCCAGATTACCAAGTATGCAGTAGCACTGCTTTTCTGTGAGTGTTCTATAGTGAGACTGCTAAATGAATTTAAAGCAAAAGCAATCTTTAATGCAGTGAGTTTGGAGAATGCTATTGTAACTGCCACTGATCTAGCAGACTTTCTCATTCAGCCTGGTTTCTCAGCTTACTTTCCCACTCAGTCATCTGGTTAAGCTCTCTTCCATCGTCAGGGAGGGTGGGAGGAAGGTAAGCTGTTGCTGGGAGAAGTGACTGTTGATCAGAGTTCATGGGATTCAAAACTGCAGAGTACTGGGTTAAGGTTGTGTATTTGTATCCCTAAGAGGACCTTGTGCAATTCTCTCAACTATCCATTGTGCTGAAAAACAGTTTGTCTAGTTACACCCATGCACGTAACTCCTGCATTGTGCTTATATAGCAGGAGTATGTTTGGAGAGCAAGAGCAGCTGTTTTCTTCTCTCACCTTGAGCCAAGAAAAAATTTGCACTCTAGACTTTCTCCTGATTCTAATACATGCTCTTTCATGGTGTGGATGTGCCATATCTTGCATGGAACTTGTGTAAAAAAAAAAAAAAAATCATCACAATATAGGGCCCTCCTTTGAATTAGCATCTTCATAGATGCTGTATGAAAGCTCTTACTGGGCCTTGTGTTGTCATGCTTGAACTGGGGAGCAAATGGAAAACCCAGTGAATTCTTAATACTGTCCACAGCTAAAGGGTGGCAGAGCCATGCTTGGTAATGATAAAATGCTCTTAAACTGAGCTGGGGTGTTCTCCTTTCTGCTGGAAGGTGCAGGGTGGAGTTTGTTTTTTGTCAAAATGGGATCTGCTGGGCTGACTGTTTTCACGTGTGTGTCTGAGATTCCAGAATGTTTTTGAGAGGTAAACTATTAATGATTGAATCATTTTCAGTTGCATTAGATTTCCTCCCCTTCCCTCTCCTTTTCTTCTAGGTTGATTTATATCAGTTACAAGTAAACACACTTCGAAGGTACAAAAGACACTTCAAGCTACAGACCAGACCAGGACTTAACAAAGCGCAGCTTGTTGAAGTACGTATGAATGTTTGTTCTATAATAGAAAATGCAACTTGCCATAGCATGTGGTTTTCTGTACAATGTGATATTTGCATAAAGAGCATGTGTAATCTGGCTTTTAGGAGAACAAAAGGGAACTGCTTATCTAGTTTCCTTCACTGGCCACAGCTTCTGACCCAAGTAAATCAAAGTAAAAGTTCTTTCCAGGGGCGGGACTCTTCCGAAAGGAGTATGTGCTGCTTAAAAACATGAAGTGTTGAGTTAGAGCAGTAAGATGATCTGCATATCTCTGAATATCATAGAATCATGCATTTACAGTCTGCATCAGTCACACCTTCACCTGAAGTGTCCTGCTGAAAGAACTAGGAACTGAGGGGTGGCAGCAAAGTTCTGGAAAGGTTCAGAGTCTGCTTTAGAAAGCTAGTTAGTGCAAGCATGTTCTTCTGTATATGTAAAGTATGTAAACCTGAAAAAAAAACAGGGTTCTACTGATAATTAATTCTGTTGATTAAAATCACTGGGATCTGCCATCAGAAAAATGGAACTTTACAAAATTAAGGGTTTTTATTAATATTCCTAAAAGTGCTGGAGCTGTGTGAGTGCAGCTGTACATAAGCATCTTTGCAGCTTAAAAGTATAATTTTAAGGGATTCTGTGCTACAAAGATGCAGTTACAGCATGCTGGTGTTTGTGGGAGAGCCGCTGTCATGGTTTAACCCATGACAGCTGGTTATCCTCTTAAAAGGGAGGTATAGCTGCTGTTTTTTCACTTATGTGCAAGAGATACTCAGTTATACTCCAGTGCAGGTATTTTGTTTGTCTGTCCCTTAATTTGTATGGATTAAAGGTGAGATTCTTAAATGTATGGGAGATCTCAAGGCTGAGCTGCTGCCACTACGAGTAAGAATGTAAAATCAGACTTCTGTTTTCTTATATTCGAGTTGCAGTACAGCTAGCTTTTGAATTAGCAGTAATGTGATTTGAAAAAGCACAAGCTGTTTTTGTTCTGCACACCTGGCATTTTTAAGCGTCTGCTTTAGGTATCTCTCTAGATATTTGCACTGGGTTGTTCTTACTGCATGGTGCGCACCAGCAAAGCTGCTTCTGTCATGTGCTTGGTTTGACTGACGTGCAGGCCTCTGTGAACATTAGCTGCAGAACTTGTGTAGTTTACAGTACATGTGATTCCTTGTAGCTTGTCCTAACATACCATAGGCACTCCTCTGGCTGTTACTTAAAGTTCACTTCAAAGGACTCTGTCAAACTACTTCTTTGTGATGTCTTTTTTTTTTTTTTTTTTTTTTTTATTTTAGGAAGTTAGGGTTTAGAAAGCTTCCTAATTTGCTAATTAGGCTAACCTTTTATACCTATATCCTATATAACTAGTAGTATATAGTGGTAGTTGAATGAGCAGTTCCGTGTTTTTTGCTTGCTAATTGCAGTCTTAACAAAATATTCTGCAAAAAGCCAGAGAATAGACTTGGGCAGGTATAATATTTTGCCCGCTTTCTTTTAGAGCTGATGTTCGTTGTGGTGAAGGGAAAGACTTCTGGAATGGAGTGGAGTAACAAAAAAATGATTCAAAAACTGTTTAGAGAACATCATGTTTTAGTGTTCCAGCATAGTGAATTTTCAGTGATAGTATTTTGATGATCTGAATGTTCAGTTATAAATTTTGAAGATTCTTGAATTGTCTTGGATGTTTCTGTGTGTGACTTGGTACAGGCATACCCTCATGCCCCCCCAACCTGAGTGATGAGCAGTAGCCTCCCATTTCTATGCTGTTGTTTGTTGATATTCTGCAATTATTAGTTGCTTTATAGTTTTTTAATTAAACTGCACCGATGTAACGATACTCCTAGGCTTGTTTTGAGAGCTCCATCCCCCTTAATTTGGAAATTAGGGTATACAATTTGCTATATTTAGTTCATAGTTCTCAATAAAATGGTTCCTGTTTATCTTTTTTTATTACTGTTAAAGACTTTTGAAGAGAGGTAGCATCTTTTAAGCTGCTTGATTAATCTTTTAGAATTTAATGTCCTCAATTTCAGTATGAAACTTTGGTTATTGCATATAGGAGTGGTTATTTAATTTCCTTGCATTCTTCCTTTGTAGATAATTGGCTGCCACTTTAGGACAATTCCAGTGAATGAAAAGGACACCTTAACATATTTCATCTACTCGGTGAAGAATGAAAAGAACAAGCCAGATCTAAAGATGGATAGTGGGGTTCATTAGATGGAAAAGGTTGGGACTGAGACTCAGGCTACAAATCAAAAGACTGAGGTTTGGTTGATCCGCAGAAGCTTTCTTTGTAACTTTTTTGTCCCCGGAGACTTTGTCTCTGTTTTATTTTTCATAACCTTGCTGATTTGTTTGAAAACTATCTCTTATGAAACAAATTTCCTCAGCAAAAGTATTTTAAATAAATATCACTGATACTGTTGCTCAAGTGGGTGTGTCTGTAACTTACTGAGTTACTTGTACCTAATAGTTAAGCTTTGACTAACTATGTAATAATATTAAAATATTTTTCAATTAAAGTGTGCCAAGAATATATTTATGAATGTACTTCAAGTTCTCATGGTGCAATGCCTTTAAAAAAACCCCAAAGCTGTAGCAGACTTGGCAATAAATTCCTTTTCCTAAGGTGAAAGGCTTTAAATGACAGTTCCAGTTGTTAGCTGGGCAGAAGTGGTTGAATAACATTTTATTTTTCTCCTTGAAACAAGAATTGATGGGTGCTTTTCTGGTGTGTGTATTCATCGTGTCACTGTTGGGATATGTGCTTCCAAGCGCTGAGACCTTCCTGCTCCTATATTAAAACGGGGGAAAAAAATGCAGCTCTCAAATTTCAAAGCTGTAAGTAGGATGAAAAGACTGCTGCAGCTTACTGTGCTGAGAAATCCTTCCACTCAGTAAGAAATCCTTTAGCTGCTGAATTCTCCATTTGTCTACATAGACTGCTGCTAAGAACTTAATTGGAGAATAGAAGATGGAGTCTGTGCTGGGTCAATGTAGTATCTTCTAATAGGCATGCTGTTTCTTTTTCATTGCATGCATTAGCTCAGGCCTGTTAAAAATATAAAAACAAAAATCCCCGAACAAAGCTTATGATAATACATGAGAAATATCCAGCGATACTTTTGCTTTTAACTGAATATCTTAGTAAAGTTTGTTGTTAAACATGATATTATGAATGACTTTTTATTGTCATTTAACTGTTGTGCCAGTCTAAATGTGTGATGTATGGAATATGATTTGTCTTCTTTAAATGATACATAAATTGAAAACATGGAAGGGAAACAGTTCTTAAAGCAGAACAGAACACAGCTTCAGCTTTTTTCAGTTAGCATTTGTTGCAACTCTTAGCCATATCTAATGTTGAAAAGGTTTTTCTTAATTTGGGCAAAAATGAGAAAGCCGTATTTGTGTGGTTTAATTTGCTCAATGTTAATACTGTGAAGTTTTTTTGAGAACTACTGTTTTGCTGGTATCACTATAACTAAGATGCTGCAGTTTGCTTTTTCCAACCTGTGACAGTTGCCTTGAACTGAATGATGATAAACCATAAAACCTAACCTTAAACTGGCTGCCTTCCCAGTAGCTCTCAGTGGCCTTATTTCTTTCACTTGCAGTGTCTTATATATTTCCACAATAACGTTCTGCAGTGTTGGCTGCAGTTCAAGACAGTTAGTGATACCTAGCTAGTAGCAGCTAAAATTGGTATTCCTTTGAAGAGCTGTTTTAGTGCCTGTTTCACTAGAGAGACTGTGAAGTTTGCTAAATATCTGCACAAATTCATCTTGTCACATTTAAAGTATAAACAGCCAGGGGAGCCTGGCCATGGATAGGACATCCAAAGGACAAAAGCTTTTTCTCTTGAGTGCCTGGCAGGGGTGAGTGTTCTCACCTAGGCCTGCAGAACACATAGAAGAAGCTTTGGGAGGAAAGGAGAGAAACAAAAGCAAGTTTCTATGGGAAATCAGTCTTAAGGCAGTACCCTAAAGTGACCATATCCTGCTACATGTGGAAAGCAGCAGAATTTTGCTCCAGTGGATTATGGATTTTCCAGGAGTGGCGGAAGGAAAATGACTGAGAACCACCTACTAACTTTATCACCCAGATTTGCATCTGCCTTATTTTTTTTTTTTGCTACTGCTGCTTTGGAAAGCTGTGAATGCCAGGCATATGTGACATGATTCATGCAGATACTAGATGGCACAACCGATAGAAGTTATGTGCCCTTGTTACTGCTAGAAGGTTATAGAGGACTTCACGCAAGAGCAGATACCATGTGTTTTTATAGCAGAGCACTGACTTTGGATATTTTGACTGTGGGTTGTCAGATTTATGGGTTTTTTTTACCCTTAATTGATGATTTGGTAGGGAGCCTAAAAGACTGGAGAATAATTACACAAAGCAGGCTTAAAAAGCCTGTTTGTTTAACAGTCAGTAGCCTAAAAATTGCTTGGCAAAAATAGTATGCACAGATTTACTTGAAACATTTATTATTAGCTATGTATAATCACCTCCTTCCCTTTACCATCCAACCCTGGTTTACTAACAGAGGAAGAAAAATAGTCATTGTGATATTCATACTGCATGTGAAATAAGTCTGGTAAGCTGGTGGTAGCAGGTTTTGTGATGTAACGGTTTAAGATTATTAGATAAATAGTACACTTTTTGACTGGAAAAGGCTAAATAGTTACTTCAGTACTACACACCTTCTGTATGACTTGATAGCCAAAGAGGTTTTGTATGTAAAGCAACAAGCCGGGTTTACTGCCTATAAGCCTGCTTTGTTCAGGTGGTTTTCCTTAAACTTACAAAGGGACACAAATTTTTGGCTGTTTTTCTCTTGTACTGCAGTTGGTGTTGGCAGGCGTTGAGAGGTGACTATCTACAGCCTAGATCATGATAACTCTTAAACATTAAGATGATTGCTTCTAATATTTTGAGAAACCTCTTTGTCTTCTCTTCCCTAGCTATTGCCTTACAGGGATAGCCCAAAAATAAAAAGCCAGCATTAAAACTTAATTGTGCAGTATTGTATTTCAAACAAGGCTTGATTAAAAAAGCTGCTTAAATGTGGATTTTTATGTTGCCTTAACAGACTAAATTAGTCCTGTCTTCCTTAGGTGTCCTTCTGGATATATATATATAAATATGCTATTGTAAGTGTCCTAGAATTTTAATGCTCAATGTTAGGCAATTTAAGGTTTTTACAGAGTGCATAGTTAATGCAGGTGGCCAGTTACACATACAAATCTGCTTTAGTGTACTAGTAGTGCGCATTTTGCCTACTTCCCTCCACACCTTCACCCCATGGAATTTTTAAATGTGAAATTTGCCTTTTGTAGGTGCATGTAATTTTAAGATGTTTAGATAGACTCTGGGAGCCTGTCTGCAGAAGTGCCAGGGACAGAGTAGCTTCAGCTTAAAGCAGCATTAAGTGTGTGATGGCAAAGCGATAGGAAGCTGTACAGCAGTGAGTTGCTTCAGTGACGTGAAGGCTTAGGCTTAAAGTTTCTTCATCCAGACTTGTTGAGAATGTTGGACTGAGTAATAAGAGTTAGGCTTTTTGCTGCAGGATGAATATTAGAAAGCATTACGAGCTTGTACAGTCTTTTACACCATTATGGAAATTAATTTGAAAGGAGAACTTACATATTTGAGATTATGAAAAGGTATAGAAAAGGTTTTTTTCTACAGTGTAAAAAGAGGCACTGTCTTGTGGTTAGAATGTGGGTTTTTTTTGTGGTGGTGGTTTTGTTTTCTCCCTTGAAATCATTGTTATGTGATTGCAGAATGATGTCTGTTGTCTTCACTGGCAGACTTGATATCCATCACTGACTGTTGCAGGGTATCACAAAAGATATCTTTGGTCCAAAGAAAATATCCCTGAAAGATATTATCAGATATTTCAATAATTAGATCACTGGCTTATCAGAGCTTTAACATGGCATGCATGTCTAGTTGTTATTTTTTAGCTTATGATGGGGTATACATAAGATTACTGTGTCCATGGGTTGCACTTCCAGCAATGCACATCCAGACTGTAGGTCTAGATGTAGATCCTGCATTTCTACTTCTGCTGGCCTGATCTGGAAGAGATGGCAAAACTTTTTATTGCCTGAACAGCGCAGACTCCACCCTGGAATTTTATCTTTGAGAAAGTAAACTTATAAAATACATAATGTTATATAAAAAAGCATGTGCATGCTGAATGCATGCACGTGCTTACTGTTTAGTGCAGTTTGTCCTGTGAGCAGTCCTGCAGCGTAGGTTGTCTGTACCTCAGGATGGTTCAAGTAAAACCTTATGTATTTGTATCAAAGTTAAGAGGCTTTATTAGGCTGCTCACAGTTCAGAGATTGAAGCTAGACACCTAAAGTGTGCTTCAGGGTGAGAATACCATAGCTAGTTTTAGGGAAAGTGAAAGATGAAAAACTTATTTAAACTGCATTCAGTTTCAACGTGAGGTTTGTAGCTGCAGAAGTCATTCCCGCTTGGTTCAGACATAGTCCCCTACAGGAGTACTGAAAAGTTGCCTTTTATTGGATTTTAGGGGGCATCAGAAACTTGTGTAGTAAGAGGAGCACATATTAAAAGTAAATTTTGCCTGCCTGTATAATGCAATTACATTCTAGTGTCCCTGAAGCGTTGGTAAGTTTTGCAGTGTTGATATTTTTAATCTAAATTTCCTGAATAAAAGATGTTGCTGGAAAGCTGAATTAAATAATACATCTTAATACATTTTATGACTTCAAGCCAGTATAGGCCAGTGGTGTTTATTAACTCAATATTAATTTTGTTGCGACGTACATTCTTTCTGTAAAACAGCAACAGCAAAACCCATGTTCAGCAAGAACTTCACCATTCAGCTTTGTCAGCAGTGCCAGCTAGCTAAAGAAGTGTTTATGTTCTTGGGCTAAATCCTTACCCTCCCTTGCAGGTATTTGTTTGTGAACCTCTGTTCTCCTCTTTTGCTTTCCTACTTTAAACAGCTGTCTTTACAGAATCATTTATTCAACTGACATATGTGCATATGCCTTAGAATAGCAATACGGTTCTTTAATGTGTAACAGAAATCTAATAGTTTTGTTTATGGTCCTGAAATCTTTGCAAAGTGCTGTGAATCAGGTTATGATGTAGTTCTCATGCTCAGTCTAGATCAAACAGAAGAGTAAAAAGTTGGGTGATTTAAATGCTGAAGTCCCCTATAATAGGATATGGAGGTTTACACCATAAGCAAGTCCTAGGTGAGACCCTGGAAAAAAAAGCCTGAAAACTGTTGGTGGAGTAGGTAATTGGCTCTCTCAATATTATTTCAAACCATGTGAGGTGATGCATTTCTTTAAAATGGTTGCTTATTCCATCATGTAAAACGATGGATATATAATGAGCAGTCACACAGAACAGTACGGGTTTATATAAAATGAGTGTGGTCTTACTTTGGGCAGCAGAGCAATTCATTCCAGCTGCAGTAACAGATCACGTCACAGCCCTTCCCTTCCCAAAAGTGATTTTGCAGACCATC